ACTTGGACGATGAGTTCGTAAAATTAATAATGTTGAGTGGATCTTAATAGGAGACACAAAGGTCGGAATTTTGGTTCTACATTAATCCTGTAAATATTGCCTACATTTGAAAAATAAAAGGATAGAATTTCGAGATTTATCATTGTACAAGCTATTGTTCTATCTTAATGCTGTTAATTATTGCTTACTGCTGTTGTCGTCAAGATAAAGTTTAGAGAATGGGCAATTAAATTTTATATTTTTATAATCTTTTTAGTAATTAATTCATTTCGTTTTATTAAAAATTTTGATTGAATATTTTGATATTGAGCAAAATCGAAGATAGTCGTTATATTATACAGATAGTAGTTATATATTTGGATTTGTATTCGGTGCAATAACAAAGTTATTTGGCCGTTAGCTTTCCACTTTCATTTAAAAATGAAAAAGGGCTTTGGCAGATTCCAAGTGAAATTTCCGTCCTAAAGAACATTATTAGAAAAACAAATTTCAGCACTTGTGAAACTTGGGCCAATATTCGTAGTTGTAAATTTGAACTTTAATTGGGAGCGTTATTAATTATAGATTCATATTCGTGAGCCGCCATTCAGCTATTTGGATTCATACATGTGGAAATATGCATGTTACAAATTTAAACACGTTGACTGTCGTTGACACGTTTATTTTCGTTGAATGAATATATAAAAATGTAACCGATAATTGCATTATTAAAAATATGATAAATAAATATAATTCGAGACGTGTACATTTTTTATTTAGTATCATCGGTTTTCTACTAGCAACATAACCGATTTTTCAAATGCAATATATTATGCTTTATAAATAATTTAGTAAGAAAGGCGGTATTATTATAATTCCGGCTACCGGCTGTTACGATATTCAACTTACTAACAAATAATCAGAGATTTATAAAGATAATTATCTATTTATCACACAATAATAGACTATGACTGGCCTTGAATAAGATTCTAAATTTCGATTCGGGTGTCTCCTTATTATCGTGAATTCATCAATAATTATTAACACTTTCACGGCCGCATTTATTTCAGAAAAATGTTCAACTGCCGCCAACAAATTCGAGAGCACGTTTTTTAAAGAAACCAATCCTTTTTGTACATAAATCTGTACACCTAGTTTTATATATACATATGCATATATATATAATTCCTATAATATTAATTATAGGACATTATAATTGTAAACTATCATTATCGAGAAATATTTCTATGAAACGACTTTATGAAGTCGCTGGCAGCAAGAAGTCACTTATACGCGGCAGTGGCCGTCAAGGTGTTAAAATCGGAGATATTTTATTTAATAAATAATTTAAGACTAACATACCTGGAGAGATACATTGCTGTCCTATCTCGGCATCCTTGCATCCTGGCTTCCTGCACCTAGCACTTGAGTGTTTCACTATTTCAAACACTTACTGACACTGACACCGTATTGACACTCGCGTACGATTTGGTTGGAACGTGAACAGATATATGAACGCATCAATGCCGGCAAGAGAGCTCGATTAAATTTTCAATAGCCGATGAAATGTTTTAATCGCTCGATGTGTGGGACATGTAAAATGTATCACTGATATACATATTCCACGTCACGATATATGTGTCACTCGTCAGTCGAGGCGTAATGATTCGGTCACGGACAAAGATACAATGTGCGCGAGAATATCAAAACAATCAGTATCTGCGGAAAGATAATAAATCGTCCCTCATCAGTCGCCAAACAAATCGCCAAACAAATAAAAAATGAACACATTTGGTGTCTGAAAATCACAATTATCAAATGTTTTCGAAACTACAAAATGGTCAAGTTGTAAAATTATTAAATTATCAATTAAGACAGTTGTACACGCGGAATATATTGAGATAATCGATATTAAATAATTACTAAATAATTTCTCCTTTATAAATCTAAAAAAAAAACAGTCTATTGGTTCTTGAAGTTCGTCAAAATTTGCGGGATTAAGTACAGGGAGAATTTCGAACGGGTGAGCGATGCGAAAATAAACAAATAAATCTGTAACTGCCAGTCCGAAGGGCACAATTTATCCTACTTGTACGCACATACGCACACACACACACACACACACACACACACAAATGTACGCACGCACACACGCCGTAATTGCACAGCTGCGGGATTTCTCGTTTGCACGTGACACATTACACAGACCGCTTAATGACGATGATATCAAAACCGCTATAGACGGACAGCAAGATTGTCGATTGCCACGGCTTAGTTGCGATGTAATTTGCCAAATGGCCGTATTAATCTGCCTAATGGATGCCTACCTACCCTCGGACAAACAACCACTATTCCGAAGCGACGTGTTAATTGAATATGCACAAAGTATGGCCGCGATCGATTTGTACAGCGCGCGATATTCGGTGCGATAGGATGTCCCGATGTGATTCGTAGTCGCGCGGCAACGGAGGGAACGCCAGCGGACGGTCCGTCATAGCGCGGATGTTTCTACTACGCGTCTACCGGATAATCGGCGAGTGTCTCAAGCCTCTCGCATATTTCTCGCGCGGTTTATTGAGATCATTGAATATTAAATAATTCGTTAATATGAAATAAGTCGCGCGACCGAAACGTTTGATGAATTCATAATGCTCGTTAATTGAAACATTTTTTCAAACTGAATAAAGAATGATTTATTTACGAATTACTTATAAAGCCGATAAAGAGTGGGGTCGGATGTTATTAGCGAGAAGTCGGCAAAAGAATTATATTCTTTGATGAAATAAAATTGAATAAAATAAATGGAAATGGATAATGAAATAAAGTGAAGTAAATAAATGAAATGAAATGAATAAAGTAGAAATCAATTTAGTAAAATTTAACAAAATAGTTCATAAATACATTATTCTTTAAGCCTGAAAAAAGGAGGGTAATCACCCGTAGTGTCGAAAGTCAATAGCACATATAGCATTATACGAGGTTTTTGATTTTGTTCAAATTCGATGGGATTTAGAGAAAACTAAAATTTCGATTCGAGAGAGATGAATATAAGAAAAGATCCTCGTACCAGGCGTTTAAACGTATCACAATTGCATCCTAATTATAGCTTAACTTGCTAAATATTTTATTTGATAATATATTTGATATATTATATTAAATATTATATTTGGTTTCGTAAACTATGTAATTATATATAAAATTTGCACCGCACTGATTTTGATGTTTCGCTAACAGCTCGGATCCAGAGGAGCCGCGTTGATACGATTACATAAGAACGATGCACAGAGAATCCATGACTAACAAAAGCGTCGAAAAATCCGGATTGGCGTGCGTCGTTGTTTTTTGATCACCCACCCGCCGGATTATCCGCCGAATCGATAGTTTTCGCATTACCGCAGTCAGTAGATAACCGTCGATTCGTCCGTTCTTCGTTTAACGTACGACGCTTTACGTAACATAAAAGTGTTGTTATTTCGGAGCTACATCGTGAGTTTTTTGCTGCTTGTTTGCTCGCACGTCGACGATAAAGCAAACATGGCGCGACTTTGACGCGGAATTAACGATCCTCTGTTGTTTCTGCGTAAAATACACGAGTAATGTAGAAAATCTAATACTGATAGATTCTGTCAGATAGAATAACGTAAAAATCTAATACTGAAGCGAAACAGTATGCTGCCAAATTTTACGAAAAATACATATCAATGTCTGTGTGATTTTCCCTGAATTGCTTTTCGCAAAGGCGCATGTTCGGAATACAATATCGTGAAACCTTAATCTCGACCGCTCGTCAAACATCATAAATAACGCAAACACTCCCCCGACAAGTCCTCGACGTTAATAATGACGGCCATGAATATATGCAACGCTATTTAAGCAGCATTTTCCGCGAATCAGTGTGTGCTCGATTCGACATTGTATTATTAAACCCCAATATCACTTCCTTGGTGAAACATATCTTCCCGGCCGTTGCTCGCGACTCGAAAGATTGCCACATAAATAATGATCGCCCGCTCTCTGCTCTAAATTCTAACCGAAGCACCTTCCGGGGCGGGCGGATTCAGCCTTACCTGGAAGGTGGCCGGGTTAAAAATTTAAATCAGCCTGGTGTGGCTCCGCATCGATTTCGTGCACGGCATGCGACAAGCCTTCTTCCCTGTACTCATGAGAGCCGCTCAGCTGTGCGCACACTTCGAACTTGCATTCAACATCCCGCAGCAATATTTCTCGCTATCCACGCCGATAGCCGCCGATGAAATTAGCGCGTTCCATTTTCGTGCTTTCGCCTTACGTCGACACCACCCTTTCCGTTTTGGTGCGTTTGATCGTATGAAACAGAACTAAGTAAAACCATCGGGAGACAATCGTAACTCTTTACGCTCTAAGAATGCCGCAGCGGCGCCGTAGGAAATGTCCGATGAAACGGTGCGACGGCGTCTTCGAATTTCAAATTTTCTCTCCGAATTTCTCAGAGTAAATTTCACTTAAAAAGTGAAAAAAAAATCAGCCGAGTTCGCTCGGATTCGAATGATTCTTCACTTGTACAGAGTGAATTCTCCACTCTGAATCGTCGAGAAAATATTTCCACTCGAAACTGTGTGGAGTCAAAATTCACTCTAAGCTGGAACGGATCATTCTTGCGATTTTGAGTGACAGTATTTTCACAGTATTGTCACTTCGAATGAAAATATTGCCGCTTATTTTAAGTGAGACTCCTCACTTTAGAGAATTTAGAAAACAGATCTGAACCAACTGGCGCGCTAGTTTGGAAACTAATTAAAACCCCGAAGGGCATCGTCACGGCGTTTTTCGAGTTTTGCGCGAGAAAAATCCCACCTTTACGGCACTTTCGGGGCGGAAAGAGTAAAATGTGTGCAACGCGCGGACTTGGAGACCGACACCACGGCGGGATACCGTTCGTCGTGGCAATCCGTAGGAATATATAGTCAAGGACTGCAGAGCGCGCGGTTGGTCGGCCGCACTCACCGTCCTGCCGCACCAATCATTGTGTTTTACTACTTCAGGCGAAAGAGAGCTACAGCTGAACCAGGCGAGCCTCGAACGGGCGGTTGCGCTACTCCGGCAGGTTCCGGAATTCACCATAGCCGCCATGATGCGTCAGGAGCAAGCCAATTCCGGGACGATCGTCGCCTTTACGAACGGGAGCAATAGGTACGAAATACCGAAAAGTCACCCCCTGCCCGTCCACCCTCGTCCCTTGGCGACGGTGCACGGGTATTCGGCGCTCGATGGCCGGAACGAAGGCCGGAGAGCCTGTGACCTATTTCGAACGTCGTTGAATGACGCAGACCGCAAAGAGGAAACACACTTCGTTCCGCCCGCAAGTATATCGTTTTCGTTTATACGTTACGAAAGATATTACAGGAAGCAACGCGTTGCATGGAACGTCGTTACTCTTCTTATGAGTTGTTCTTATTATTAGTTACTTTTCTCCGGTAACGACTTTTCAACGACGGCAACGATAACACAACTGTCTTTTTCAGATAACAGTAATAAAAACGATTATTTCGACTGTTACTTTGCACACTTAGAATACAGGGTTGCGTGGCCGGGAATCGTAAAAGAAAGGATTTTTAGAACTCAGGCTGAACTTTCAGTAAACTCTAATTAATATAATCGACGATATAAATTGCTATCATTTCCTAATATTACTTGCTTTATCTTGTTAACACAGATAGAAATGATAAATTTTTCGATTATTGTTGAACAACAAATTGTAGATCTGGAAATCTTGGTATTAGCAATTCTTATTATTATTCGTCGTTTAGTTTAATAGGAGGTCCTTATTGAGGAAATACGGGAATCGTAACAGCTTATTTCTTTTTGCGTAACGATAATAATAACAAATTACTTTAAGAAAGTACCGTTTGCAACCCTGGTTACAGATTAAGTGACTGTAGCAGCAATATTGTCGGTACCTCGCTTATTACATTTTTTCGTTAATAGAAAAAAATATCATTCTACTGCTAAGAAAAACGATTATTTAGTCCAATTTCCTTCTTTTAAATAATAGTTATCTTCGAGAAAGAATTTATTTTTTTACAATAATCTTGAAATATAATTATCACAAATCTTAGAAAAGCTCGTTATCATGTATTCAAAAGAAAAATGTATCCTAGTCTGTGTCTTGGCGTTCTTTACGTTTTTATGCAATTCCTAAGGCACAGTAAAGTTTATTAATTATTATTATCTATTATCGCTATTATTAATATCCGTGTAATACACGAAACGATCGGCAGTAGGTTTCTCACGAACCATCAGAATCTCATGGGTGTGATACGATTTTCACAGAACGTAACTCTCGCGAACGATCGCCAAATATTTCATGCATTCGCATGTTTCACGTTGTCATCCGGTCTCGACATTATCCACGTAACGCACGACAATTCCAGAGTAATATCAACTTTAATCGGAGCAACGCGACGAGTTATTATAGAATGATTACGCGCGTGATAAAATGATGAAGAATCAACGTCGTTACATGCGACCGTTGAAATTCACACGTATTATTACGCTCGTTCGGTGCTTCGTCTCTCGGTTGAAATTATTTCCACGTGGCAAATATATCGCGCACGAGTCCGGTCTCTGGATCGGCGCGGTGTGCACCGACGTGCCGAAGGAAGTCAGTGTGTCAATTGTCGAGCGACAGTGAAGGAGCACTTAACTCGCTGTATCCTCTCCATCGTCGGTGAGACGAGAGCTGCAGTCTGGCCGTTTTGACCTAGCTGATGCAAATTGGATAGGCCTGCGCTGCTGCCCTCGCGCACATTACGTGGCGGTTAACGTGCCGGCAATTACAATTAATTTAAATGAAAATCCAATAAGCCTCCCAAAGGCCAACAAGCTTGCCGAAGCTTAATTACGCGCGCCCGTAAATACACATCCTATTAGCGGCGACTGCGTAATTCAATTGTTCCGCGATAGGTCCGAGCTCGGACAAGGTTGACGCTCTTAATCCTTTCGTCTTCAACCGTCTCGCGCGATCTCGCTCTCGATCAAACGGGGAAATTTCACGACGACCTTGTGTGTGTTGACGAAGCGGTGACGTTCGCGACAGAGACGAGATGGACGTATTGATGGAATAACTCTTGGCTAATTCGAATTCCACGAAGATACTCGATGCGACGAACGCAAGAATCTATCACACACGATGCACGAGGCGTTCTCCGTCACATAGGCGAGCCCGTATTCATCGTAAATAATGCTGATTGACATTTCGCACCTACGTTATTGTGATCTTTTAAGAAATATATTTTCAAGATGCACCGAGAGAAAAATGACTCATTGAAACTAGTTATTTATTATGCCGAGTCATTTTTTGGTTATTTTAACAGAAAGGTAACAATAACATATGTGCATACAAAATCATCACAATCAACATCATAATAATACTTGATAAAAATGGTTTTTCCGAACGTAATTATCTCAACGAATTATCTTACAAATACTAAACATGTTTTTTGCAGTGCAAAACTCAGTTGCTTGATTTCTCTTTAGATGTGTAATTAAAACGCATTTATGCAGACTCATTTATTTAGTGCAAAATTTAACTGTTTCGTTACTTTATGTTCATGCATCTCGATGGCGGGCTGGCCTATCTCAAATGTCGGCTCACTGAACTGTCCTTTTTATAAAAAACGGCAGTCTCATCCTCGTCGGAACGCGTCGTAAAAATGACAGAACAACACTAGAGTTTCGAATGAGATCGTGGAATAAAGCGCATAAAGTTCAGTGTTCGGTAAGCGATAAATGGTCACGAATACAACGGTGCGTCAGGTATTTGGAGCTGCAGAGCAGCGGTCGCAAGGACGAGCTTCGACTTCATTACTTATCACGCCTAGACGGAAACTTACACGTCGAGACATTCCCTTTCCGAATGGCCGACGGCGGCTGGCACAGGGTCGCCTTGAGCATAAGCGGCTCGCAGGTCGAGCTGCTGGTCGACTGTCACCCCTTGTACAGACGACTGCTGAAGTCCGGTTCACCCGACACCAACTTCACCCTGTCGCAGCTCCAGCTCTGGGTCGGGCAGAGGCACGTCAAGCACTTTCTCTTCAAGGTGAGGGTCCCTCTCCTCGATCCCTCCCGTCTCCTTCTCGCAGATAAAATACTTGGTCGATTTAAGTTTAATTAAATATCTGTGACCTCCTTTGATACTTTTTTAATTCTTCTTTTCATTAATTAGTTCTTCATTTAATTATTAAAGTTTAATTCTTAACTTCACTTTTCTAATTTATGTCCTTTTGTAACTCTCTCTCTCTCTCTCTCTCTCTCTCTTTCGTGCACGATAAGAAATATATTTTTGTCCGAAGAAAATGACGAAAAAAACCAATAAGAGTCAATCGCGGTTATTGCGGTAAATATTTAAACTACGGGGGTTAAACATATTCGATGTATACGTTATTACACCGTCAAATATTATTATTTCTCTATACTATTATTATTTCTCCAACCATGATCAGTTTTTATTGGCCTTGTCTCTTCATTCGATTGTATACCCCTGAGAGCTTGTTTATATAAGCTGTCCTAGAATCAATTTGTGTCCTTAAAAGAACAGATTCTTTGGGACATTCGAAAGGTCAAGTACGGAAATGTCGAGGAAAGTCTTTGTTCATAGTGACTTTTTAATTTTCAACATAACATGTCTTTGTAACTAAAGTCTAGAATAAACTTACATAAAAGTAAAGTTCGCTTGAAATTGATCGAAGAAAATAATTTTGTTATTCATTCGGTCGTTCGAAGCTTAATTTACGAAAAGCGCTACTTTTTTCCGATCGCTTGTATTTCGGGAACTACTGACACCCCGACATTTTCGCACTTGAACTTTCGTCTTAGAACGTCTCAAAGAATCATATTAATTAAGGACACAGGACATGATTTTGGGACACCTTATGTAGCTCAGATTTTTCGTCACAACTGAAAAATCTCCCGGAATTTACGGAGAGAATTACTCGGCGGCCGATTAAAGCTCACCGTGTGATTGTCGCGCCGCAGGGTGCTTTGCAGGACGTCAAGCTGATATCAGGACCTCACGGCTATCTCTCCCAGTGTCCCCAGCTCGACTCGTCCTGTCCCACGTGCGGTCAATTTTCGATATTACAGAACACCGTGGAGCAACTGATGCACAATCTCAACGAGTTGACTCGTAGGGTGAGTAATCGGACGATTTAACAGTCACCGAGGGTGCGATGAGGTACTAAACGCAACTCTGGAATTACAAATCGCCGCGTATCGGGGCTTCACGCTCGTGAATGTCACGCTTAGACCTTGTGTTATTCTTATCCCTTTTTTCGCTCATGGACGTTCTTCCTTTCAGCTAGCCGCTGCAGAGGGCAGAATAAGCAACGTGGAGGAGTGCGAGTGCCAAAAGTCGTGTAGGGTGAACGGCACCGTCCACGAGGACGGCGCGTCGTGGGAGGAGGACTGCCAGCAGTGCTCCTGCGTTCACGGCGAGATCATGTGCAAGCCGATACCCTGCGCCCCGACTGACTGCAAGAACCCTGTCCTTCTCGAGGGGCAATGTTGTCCAACTTGTCTCAGTAAGTGAAGCGTCACTTTTCCGGCTTCTGCTCACATTTCTTATTTCATCTCGACTTCTGCGTTAACAACCGACGTATACCGACTGTAATTCCTCCGCAGGGGGAAGAGCTGTTTTCTTTTACTTGTTTTTTCTTTCCGACTCCTATCGATTCCAAAGTCACGATTTTCAGAGCTCTTAACGAAATAGGAGGATCCTACGATGTTTAGAAGCACGTCTCGCCGAGAATAGTTTGCGAAATCATTCATGTCCCATATGTTTTTGGCTTTTGAACACCGCGTAGTTCTTGGCTTACGAAGGTGCGTCGCGACGGAAGTCCTCGGCGAGGAGATAACTGTTGCGCCAGTCGCTCGCGTTTTTATTACGCGATCCGACCTTTTCGCCTTCGCGCACGCGACTGGCTGATTAGTCGACGACGCGTAGCGTGTCTCCTCGTCGTCCTCGTCATCGACCCGCCTCTGTCTCGCGCCGTGCCGCGCGTTATTCATCTCGTCGTTCGCCCTCAGGACAGTGTTTCTTGCACGACGTAATATACGATCACGGCGAGAGGGTCTCGCCGAGACAGTGCATCGATTGCGACTGTCAGGACGGTAGCTTCTACTGCAAAAGATACGACAACACAACCAGGTGCCCACCACTGCCGTGTCCACCCAACGAGCAAATCAGCGTCGCGGAGGAGTGCTGCAAGTTTTGCCCAGGTGGGTTGATTTCTCACGCCGGCCGGACCGGACGTGGAGGCGAATGCCAACATTTCTTTGGGATTCGTCACGGGGAAGAATTCCGAGAGCGAGCGACAACTTCCGTATCGCGTCACGCGATAAAATCTTACATGGCCGAGGATGAGAATTTCATTTGAATTCTGGCTAGTCAGCCGATGCTTTATCGAGCGTTCTCTTTTTCCCTCACGTAAATTATCACAATTTATGATACTTCAGCGTACACAGAGAAAAATATTATTTTACCGTTAAGAAAAGCGATTGTTCCAGTTTATTTTCCTTCCTTTGAGTAATAGTTATTTTCAACAAAGAATGTTTTCTTGATAATAGTTTCAAAATATACTCACAATAAATTTGAGGAATGTTCATTATCACGTACTCGAAAGAAAAATTTAATTTTTTTTAAGAATATTATAAAATAATTTTACCGAGGGAAAAAGTTAATTTCGGTTGATTTGAATAAGCACAAACCAAAATTTTTTAAATTTAATATTCTTGATTGATGTACAAAACCTACTAGGATTTAGAATATATTTTGAATAAATTTGAAGTTTGCGCTAAACTATAATATATTTGCGGATATATGAACTTACGAAATATTTGAAACGAGTAATATTTATTCGAATGCAGTATATACTTTTCTGTGTGTACAAATCTCGTCGTTGTACGCGAGTTGAAATTCGTGGCGGGTAAATATTCCACGCAGCATGATGTAGCGATCAGCTTGGAAGAATGACAAGCATGAGGAAATAACAGAGCTTTGCGATCGGCGACAGCAAGAGAGAGAGAGAGAGAGAGAGACACGAAGCATAGTTTGCATAGCTCGCGCATCATTAACTTTAATTAACCCTCTCATGCATGAAATTTCTTTTTCATTAACTCTTTAAGTCGACGTACGTATACTGCAAATTCAGATGTGTTATTTTTTAATGCACGAACGTCTAAAAATTACAATTTAACTGAAGCTTTATTTACATATCTCTTGTCGTTTTAGGTTACGTCATTCGAAATGTTTAACCGTGTTAAATTTTAAGCGTTAACACGTCTAATCATGTTAAATGACGTGATTTAAAACAGTAAGAAATGTGCGAGAAAAGCTAAAATAACACACTTGGATTTGTAGGTCGCACTTGGACATGCATTTGCGCGCGAAGTTGCGACGAAAGGAGTTCGGCAACAGTTACACGCACGTTACACATGATTGTTACACGGTCTACAAAATCATAAAGACGTATGTTAAATGCGCTATAATGTTAACTTTAGTTTTGACACGTAAGATCGAGACGATCGGCCGGCGACGTGAGGTTTCCCCTGTTATCCATTATTAATTACGGCCAGCTCGATCCTCATTACGCATGGGAGGGTTACCGATGTGAAATCGAGGAGCGACGGTCGTCCCGGCGAAAGCCGCTCGAACTACTCGCTAATCGAATCCTCTCTAACCATTAAACCGTGTTTGCCTGGCTAACCCAATTTAATACCAGATGTGGACTACTGCGCGAAGGGCCACAAGTGTCACGCTAACGCGTCCTGCCTGAACCTCCAGACGACCTACGCCTGCCATTGTGATATCGGTTTCCAGGGGAATGGTGTTAACTGTCACGGTATCTAACACACACTCACCTAACTTATCTAACTTGCTTAACTGTGCTCGCGCGATTAATTGCGCACGAAGTATTTTCCGCCTAGCTGTGCTCGTTATTGGACTCACATTCGACTCGTTGTGCAAACTTGAGTTCAAATCGGATGCTCGGGTGACTCGAGCTCGAAAGTTTCGTCGGAAACGAGTACACGAGAGAATGTTACCACGCTCATTTGAATAACGTTCAAGTAGCCGTCAGCGAAAAGTTGCGATGCGTTTTCTTTCCTTTCGTAGTTGGGAGTGAAAAACGATCGCACGTTTTTTTCACCTCTTCGGAAATCCGTTGAAGCAAAAATCGTCGCGATCTTTTCACCATCGACTGTATACGTATCTTTGATTCATCTTTTTCTGTCGTTGCAATTCTATTGGATCGATCAAAAAGTTCGGTTTGATTTCGGAGTCAGAATCGATTTTATTGCGTGTATTCAACGGACAATGATTCATTAAATAAGCAATCGTCGTCGACGATGTGCCATCCTTCGCCAACGTTTCGGTAGCAAAACACTATCAACATTGTCGTCTGTCTTATTGAATCGGTGCAAAAGATTTGTCATGTTTGCCCAACAGAAAATAGAAAATGAAATTATCTAATTTTAAAGGATTAATAATTTTTACGAATAAAACGAACAGCATCGACTCAATGTATTTTTAGACATCTAACGAGAACTTTCTATTTTTTCCTTTTAATATTCAATATATTCATCATATTTCTTGCAAAAATTCAACAAAAATTAACAAATTTTTCATACCAATCCGATACATGTGTGCAACGGGATCTATTGGAAATCGAATCGAACTCTTCGACCGACTTAATATCTGGAAAATACTCGATGGGTGACCATTGACACTTCTTCTGTTTCCCTTTCCTCGTCTCGTCACTCAGACGTTGACGAGTGTAAGCAACAAGGTGGATTGGACGGTCACCATTGCAACGCTAACACGAGGTGCGTCAACGTGATTGGCTCTTATACATGCGAGTGTCTTCCGGGTTACCATAGAATCGACAAGTTCAACTGCGCCGAGGTGGACGAGTGCACGACCGGTGATCACACGTGCGACGAGCACGCCACGTGCGTCAACACCGTCGGGAGTTACTATTGCGTCTGCAAAGACGGTTACACCGGCGATGGTTACACATGCAAACGTACGTAGCGCCGTCTTTCATCCCGGCAACGTCGCATCAATGTTAAGTAACGGACGATGAGGCGACGAGAGAATCGTTTCTGCCGCTTTCGAGCCGTGTTTGGAGTTACGGGACGGCACTCTTACAAATAACTTATCTATTTTCGAGAGTGAATCGTAAAGTGATTATTGACGCACACGCCTTTATTGGAGGATTTTGAGATGTTGGAAATAGAAAACGATTCTCGCATGCACTTACTTTACCGGAACGTTCGTTCTCGAGCGGGGGAGTGTGCGCGCAAACAATCGTAACGGCTACGGACACTCCTATCGTTTCGATGAGTAAAATGGCGAGAGAAGATTCATGAAGGGTGGAGTTTATTTGTCTTCGACATTTCTCGTTCGCGAAGATCACAAGGAGCAAAGGATAGATATTTCCATCGTTCTTTCAAGCTCGACTCTTTTATCGTCTGAAATAATAAATTTCGCGCCGTAAAGTAGCTCTCCCACAAACTATCGTTGATTTATATCGAAGAGTTCATTTAAAAGATTGCGTTGAGCCACATCGAAAGTCAATTAAATCTGGTGAGAAGAGAAGAATGGTAACAATGAATAATGAAAATTCTCTTAATTCCACGCGAAGGCGTCCCGAGACGAAATTTTGGTTCTACATTAGCCTTGCAAATTAAGCCGAACTTGAAGAAACAGTGGAGAATATCAAGATATAACATTACGTAATTGCCCCTATTGATGCTACAAATGGATATTTTCTGCCATTCTATTACTGTTAAAATTGAAAAAGGACTTGTTCAAAAACTATTAATATTAACTATTAATATCCTATGTATTTTCAATAATCTGTTCTTTTATTTTTTTTATTATTAGCTTAAATAAATAATGTATCATACAACTTGATATTTAACATTTTTACGATGTAGAGAAGTGTTCGATCTGGATTCTGGATTGCTGCCTTTGTAGATTGGTTTCCAACGTTTCGTGAACATTTCAGTTTATTCAGTTCAGCAGAAGGACAATCTGAAGTTGAGTCGTTCCTCGACAGGAATTCCTTTTATAACGTAACTTACTTAACTACAGACAACCTATTAATGAATTTTCTTTTCGGTATTACAAATTTCGATAGAATTCGAAAATTCGAAAAGAACGAAAGGAAAAAAACGTTGCAAACGGAGGAACGGTAATCGTGTACCCGAAAGCGTCAGTAAGGATTTGAAATTTGTGCTCGGTACAGTAAAACGCGCATAAACAAAGATGAAAAGAAGACCGATGCTGACAGATTCAAGATAGAATTCGCAAACCGAGAAGCATCGTTAGAGGCACAAATTGGCAAATCACTCGTGGGGCTCACGGCAGATTCTTAAATCACTCAGCTCTCAGGATCGCTCGATTTGCAACACCTCGAAGTAAAATACCGAATTCTGCTGTTCCGCAGCCGTGTGCAATCAGACTTGCCAAAACGGTGGGGTGTGCGTGGCTCCCGGCCGGTGCTCCTGCCGGCGCGGTTACATCGGCAACAGCTGCGAGCTCGACCTGGACGAGTGCGCGAGCGAGCTGCACCGCTGCCACGAGTCGTCCACGTGCTTCAACATGCCCGGCTGGTACTATTGCCGGTGCAAGCCCGGCTACAGGAGCGCCCTGCACGACATCACCCAGGGCACGCAGTGTCTCGACATCGACGAGTGCAACGACGAGACTGTCAAGAGGGGGCACACGTGTCACCATACCGCCAAGTGCGTCAACACCGAGGGCGGCTACGAGTGCGTATGCCCGCCGGAAAAGGAGTCGAACGAGTCCGAAAAGGAGTGCAGGCTCAGTGAGTTGACCTTTCCCGTTTAAATGAGTCATCGTCCCGTTTGGCAAATTAAATCGCCTCCGATTATTAACTATTGATTGAAAAAGCTCTCTGATGTATTGCGTTAACATACAGATCGATATAATGAGTTACTTACTCGCATTGCTAGTAGGCGCGCGCGCTCGGATACTGACTCAGCGCGGTATGCTTGTTTACAAAATATCTCGCACATGTTTATTCTAAAAAAAAATGCGAAAAAGTGCGTGCAAATTGTCCTGCGAGCGTGTATACCGGTAAATCCGTGTTCGAGCCTGCCAGCGAAGCGAGTAGATAAAGCGTTGTACACTGACCTGTGTGTCGACGCAACATCCTGTACAATCGTTTGATAAATCTAGATATGCGGGAAAAAAGTTCGATTGAATTAACATGACAATGAATGAGTCAGAGCGCGTTTTGGTTGAGGGAAAACCAAATTTCTGTTGTCCTTATGAATAAAATTCGCTTCTTAAAACTAATTATAACCGCACTTTCTTCTCCGTGCAATCCGGAATTGCTAACGTAATTATAAGTGCATGGGCAATTTGGTATAATATATCGGTGTTTTATATAGGTATTTTACAATTAAGTACAATTGTTTAAATTATACACATGAGTGTTTTATATAAGTACAATTGTCGAAATTATACACATAAATGTACATAATTGTCTATACAGACACATGAATGTCTAATCCCCTAAAATTATAAAGACTGAGAACAAATTCGTGCTATAATAAAAAGATATGCGTTAGTTTGTATAATAACACTACAACTAATAAAAAGATATGCGTTAGTTTGTATAATAACACATCATTAATACATCGTTTGACACACGCGTGATTTCACAGGCTGCTGGTACGAAGGGCGCGAGGTCAACAATGGCGACACTTTCACACCGGCCGAAAATGCCTGTATGAGATGCACCTGTCAAGATGGCGTGATCACCTGCAAGGATCCCATATGCGACTGCAGCGCGCCGGACAGCCAAAGCGACGCGTGTTGTCCCCAGTGCAATCCCAAGGCGTCCTGCAAGCATCAGGAGCTTCATCACCTGGTCTTCAGAAGCGGAGAACGTTGGATATACCAGTGTCAGACTTGCGAGTGCCTGGTAATTAGCTCGACCGAAGCGTGGTCGCGTATTTATCGTTCGTCCGACAGAACCGTGCCGATGGTAATCGAGCTGCACGAAGATTCGATCTTTCAAGCTGCGAATCACACTTTTCCGAACCGGAATATCTAACCCATTAGTGTCTCACTTATGGGACGCCCTGTTTTTTATTGAATAAAAACAAGTTTTTCGTGATCAATATATAATTTTATCCTTACGTTTTCGATATTTAATTTTTTGTCATATCTGTACCGCTGGTAAAAAATTTTTTATTTCCTCGCGTTTAAATATCTCTTATTGTTTCGATCGTTCGCAATAAACATGGTTTTAATAACTAATAAACTAATATGAGATTTCCGAGAAATAAACTAATAACCGATCCACGAATTAAAAAATATCCGTGAGATAATTATGGTCTCCGATGGGTTAGTTTCGTTTTCGAGTTCCTCGAGAACGTCGAATCGTCGCGTCTTGAGACAACGATGCGCTGCCTCCGTTCCGGTGACGACGCGATCCCACCGCTTCGAACTCGCTCGATCCGATTTAATCCACTCGCCGGGCTGTTGCAGTACGGCGATATAGACTGCTGGCAGATGGAGTGTCCACCGGTGACCTGCTCGAATCCCGTGACCGAGGAGGGCGACTGTTGCCCGCGCTGCGAGGACGATCCCTGCGGTCGAGAGGTACCGGCGAACGGTACCTCCCTCACGGTTCCTAGGCCGTGCAGCTACGGCGGCATCATCCACGACGGGGGCAGCTCCTGGCAGGACAAGTGCACCACGTGCGAGTGCAAGGTAAGGAGGAGGATCGCCTACATCACAGGACCCGCGGTCGCCGATCCTCGACCCGGTCCCGTGCGAGACCCGAAGGATACGGGTAGGATAAGAGGGGGGGTTCGCCAGAAAAGGACGGCGCCATGGGCACGAAGAGAAAACGCGTAGACGGATGGTCACCTATGTAAATAACGCACAGAAATGATCCTTTCTTCTCTCTTTCCTTTTCTTTTATTTATTTAGCTGATTGGTCGCGAAGCGACGCGAGGACCATTCGAACCGAGACCTCGCGTTCCCATCGCGCCCATCTTCTCTTGCGAATTCAAGAGCTCAAGGTCAGTAAATGAAACGAAATATCGTCTCAATTTAGCCGTGAATCTGTCATGTGCCTACTATCAATTGCGCTCGCTGTATAATGCCGATGTACGACCAGTTGCTGTGTGACGAGCGTCCATCGCAGAACATGTATGCGGAATAGATAGATAGATATAAATAAATATATATATATATAGATACATATATATATATATATATGTATGTATGTATATATGTATGTATGTATGTATGTATATACATATATATGGCGGAGCATCGACGCGAAAATCGTGTGCCAGTCGATTTCATTTCCACACGAAACGCTTCACATTCGATTTAGTCCGATAACTAACACTGATTCCGTTATCCCGTCGATATTGCCAGTTTTATAGAAAATAATCTCGTTGCGTTTTTGAGAGGAATCAAATTTTAGAATACGACAAACTCCCTTTCCTAGATGCTCTCCAGTTACATGAAAACCAGACGGTTCCTCATACCATTAGGGGTCTACGGGTAACCTATTGCATACTGACCGATATTTCCATGCTGCGTCACACTACCATCTATCCTAGAAACTATCAATTCTTGATTCTGTTACATACCACGACAAATAAGAAAGACTATTAAAAGACGCTAAACTAGAATAACTTTCGACACAAACCGATTCACAAGGATATATAAGGACAGACGAAAGATAACGTCCAACAACTTCCTTCCATATGAGGAGTCATAGACAGAATCCTAAACAAATATAGCCAAAAAATTATCTGCAAGTTCCCGACATGAACATAACAGTTTCCCAACAAAACGAAAGACTTCTACTGAACACTTACTTCAGAAATTTCTTTAGAAATTCATAAATATCCCTTATTATTCATAAATAATCTCAATAGAAATATACCGGATCATAAAACACCACAATTTGGCATCCATCCTCCTAATTTTATAAAATTCTATGAAAATCTTCGTTTGACCAAACCTGAGACTGTCTCCACCTTCTATCCTTCCGCCCTCTCTCCCTCATCTCTTCTTATCCCGATTAATCTTCCTCTGCGCATTTATAGAGGGAACTCCTGCCGAGAAACGACTCAGTTTCAGGTGTTCCTCTCCCTGAAGAAGCGAACTGAAATGTTCGCGTAACATCGGAAACAAATTCACGAAGGACGCGGCACCAACCCGGAAGCCAAATCGAGCATTTCTCCACACCGTGAAAGCCTTAAATATCAAAATTTAAAAGATACGATTCCATACATATTAGCGATGTGTTCTAATTTTCCCTGAAACGAACGGTAAATTCACTTTCTTCGAAACAAATAAATTTCGTAAAACTTCAGGAGCGATAGTAAAAAATTGTCATTTTATTAGGATTGCAACTGAATCGTAAAAATATTCGCTCGCGCATTCTACGACAGCCTTCATCGTTTCTCGGATCCGATCGAATTATCCGCCATGTATGCATAAAATCACACACACGAGCATCCATGCATATTATTTTGTCTTCTTCGCTCCTTTTATTCTCTATCTTTCCGTTTTCGTCGTCAGTAGACAGTCCTTAAATAGTACAAGATATATATACTGACTGTTCTTTTTTTCCGTGCAGTATGCCGTTTGTTTCTGCGGTGTGTATTAACGCGAGTATCTATTCTGCAAAGCTAAAACGCTAAATTTCATCAACCGTACGCTGAGAGAAGAATTTCCATTTTGCACGGAAGAAAATATCATACATCGAAAAAGCATACGCATTCTTTGCCCATTTATGAATTGGAGCCGGATTAAAATCGATACTGTGCTTCGACTAACAACTAACTGGATGACGACTAACTGAGCGTTTCCTTTCCTGTATTGTGCAAAAATTAATATATTAACGTATCTAATACATAATATACTAACATCACGATAATTGTCAGCGTGCGTCTTCTCTCGGCGTACGCTGTGGCGCCGCGCTAGTCTCATAATTACGAGATCTTAGCTGTACTCACCACTGTAAGATATTCAAGACCTTCGTTCGTACATCGTTCATCGATCCGTCAGACATATCCAGGGGCGTCCCCAAGCTAGCCTAAACTAGATGTCATTTATTTTTCGTTGCCTGCCTTGCACGTGGCAGTGTTTGTCGCTCGTTCCTGTCGTACGCGCGAAAAAGGAGCCGAATTGAATTCGCGAACAGGCCCTAGCATGATTGGCAAGGCTGTTTACTCGTGTCCTCTATCCTATGTAAGAAGATATCACCCTTCGTGTCTGAAAACCGTAGGCATAGAACGCGATCGAACACTGCCACGGCCGTGAGAATCTCGGCTCGCACACATGACCGAGTCTCGGTGAAAATCCCGAGAGAGAGAGCTCGCCGTCTAAGCTTCTTCGTCAAACGCTTCGCTCCACCGTCATCCGATCTCACCCTGTCGATCGTCACCCTAGATTAGATACATAAATAAATCGGTAAACAACAAACTTCTACGAATTAGTAAGTAGAATCTTAGACACTTGGCAATAACCGACAATAATTTAAAGTGCTTGGAGGGCAAACCGCTTGAATATCCGCAGATTGTGAGCACACGCGCATACAACTGCGCTATTTTGAATCCACATCGAAGAACGTTTTCGCGTTTACTGTAATACTGTAAATCGTTACGAGACTTCCACAATCAGGGTGACGGTAGAAAGATATCGAACGGGGTGTTCCGTCGCTTACTGCGCTGTCTTTCAGGCCGTGAACGATTCGAAGTCGATCTTGCAGAATTGTAAATCTAATACGTGGCCGGTATTTGTTCCGACGTTTCAACTTTCAACGTTAAATGTCCGCTTAACTGATATCTCCTTGATATATTGACTAAACTTATCGTCCCTGAAACTCGATTCTTGCCGGCTTTTCGTCTTCGCGTTGTCTAACTCCCCGATTACCAATAACTCTCCGTCGAGTTACTTGTACACAGAGAGAATTTTTCAGTCAAATTCTTGTAAGATTTTTAAATAAAAATTACCATAGAATTTTTAAGTAAAAATTGCCATAGAATTTTATATAACCGATGAATATTTCGACATTCTGCCTTATTTATTGTCCTGCCGTTCTAATATGCTATTTGCATTTTAGAAGCTGAGATTAAAATTTATTACGTTCCTCAGCAGGATAAACTCTATTAACAATCTATTCCTGCGCTACTAGAAATCATGATAAAATTGAAAAGAATTTGTATAAAGAAAGTTATAATATTCTCTCCGTGTAACCTCTCCCCTTTCTCTCTCTCTCTCTTTCTTTTATCTCCACGGTTGAAAGGGGACACAGTGATGCCGGGACACCCCTTCGTGCAACACCTGACCGAGAGGCCGAGATCTCACGATCGCGCGTGCTTCGGGTCGGCCCTGCATGGATCATTTTATTAGTGTTCACCGACCGACGGCAATCAATCGAAAGCGTACCCGACCTCGTAGCGACCAAGCGTGCACCACGACCTCGACCTCGCCGATTCGATCCGCGATCGCCCGATTGTCTGATCTCCTTCTGGAGGAACTGTGCCGAACATTCAGTCAATAATAGGATCCATTAGACGCTTCAGAGCATTCTAGCTATACAATGACGTTATTAAGTCGTATATAAAAAGAAACGCTTAAAGTTTATAAAGCGTTTAGTGGATTTCATTGCAAGAGCTGTGGCGCGATTTCATCAGCAGATGACGTTGGGCGACGATTGGATCGTAGACGTAATCGAGTCTGGTTGATTCTACTGGCCTGGTTCCTTTTAATAATAAAAATAATACTTTTTGTACCAATGAAAGATGAATCTTTCTCAAGTCAAGACGTGATCGCGGGCGCGGACCGCGGCGATGAGGAAGAAGGGAGCTCCTGGTCACGCGGGTAGAAATAGCGTGGGAGGGCTATAGCGGGATGGGCGGGTGGGTGGGAGGGG